TTTATTTTAGATAAATTTCTAAGTTAGTCTTTGAAGTTTGATACTTATTGCAATTTGATACTTAATTATTTTCATTATAATTTGGTTTTCAATATTTTATATCTATTTCAAAAGTCAAATTTTTATCGTTTTCTTAACTGTTTGGAGGTTTTGAAAAATACTTCATTCTAAATTTAAAAATAATTTTAAAAATAAAAATTTCTTAAAAAAACAACTCATTTTTGTGTAAACATGAGCTTTTTTTATATATTTTTTAATTATTTTAAATTTAAAACGAGTTGTTTTTAAAGTTTTTAAATATGATCTATTTATTTTAGTTTTTTTCCTTTAGTAAATTACTAGAAGTTGAACTTTTGAAATAAATATAAAATATTATGGATCAAATCGTAACTTAAATACCAAATTGGGATAAATATTAAACTTCAAAAGTTAATTTATTAATTTGTCTAGGGGTGAACATTATTTAATTCGGATGAAGAAACCTCATCGACCCATATCTGGACGAATTAAATAATGCTCAGTCAGATCTTTTGTCTAAAAACTTTTTATCAAAAATTTTCGATCTATTTTAATCCAGATTGATTAGTATTAGAAATTAAAATAATAAATATATAAATTAAATATATTTATGTCCTTTAATAGCAAAAATTAAAATATTATTATATAAATAATATATTTAAAAATTTAAAATTTTTGAGCAAATTTTGTTCCACTTTAGTTTGAGACTAGACCGCACTGAAAATTTTCGGCCTAAGTGAAGTTAATCCAAGAAATTTTTTCCATTTGATCTGATCTAATTCAGTTTAATCTAATTTGATTATGGACGATACTCACCCTTAAATTCATCCTAATTTTTTAGATCAACTTCTCAATTAGATAGACACTCAACTTTAATTTCTTTCTGAAATGAAAGTAACTCACTCATAAAAAAGAGTATAAGTTCAATACATAAGAGATAAAAAAAAACAAAATATCTATTCTCATAAAACACATTGTAAAGGCTTGTAATCTTAAAAGAAATGAATATATAATTTAAATGTAGAAGCGAATAATAAAATTAGAGTTTACATTCCTTACACAATAATTTAGAATGCCCAATAGGATTACAAAAATGTCTCTTCTAAAAGTCAAACGGTAATAAAAAAATAAATAAGTATCTTAGGACAACCTTCACTAGTACTTAAAGGGAGTCCGAGTGGTGAACTACTCACAACCTTCTTATTTATTAGAATTTGGATCCTGATTTTTTTTTATTTGAAATGGTTAATGTAAGAGTGATCTATACTAGTTTAGTAAAAATATCACACTAATCATAGATATGGAAAACTGAAGGTTAGTAAAAATCAGAAAAATAACTAATGGAGCCCTTACTTTAATTAAATATATTTAACATAAAGACGTTTGTTTGATACATATCGTTACGAATTTTTCAAAAACAACCTATGAAGACTCATATCCATATCACTTTTTATTTTCACATATAAGAGAACAAATTATGATAATTTTTATTTCTTACTTGCTTACTGATACCCTTGGGGGTCTACATGAATGTCCTCATACTCCTGAACTCAATATCCAATTTTAACAATTAACTGGTCGTCTCCATACCCCGTTCGGTAATGGGCACCAAATATTCCATCGCCTCAATATTTCATCCGGTATGATAATGAACTATATCTCCCAAAATTTTTTGTATAAAACTTTTTAGCCCGATCCGACCGAGATAACGTTCACGATATGCTTCTCTATGTACCGGCCATGTCTGCCATTTTTATGAGTACCCAGTAAGTCTTTCATATAAAGATTTTCATCAAGTAAAACAATCAATAAATGCATATCAATATCTCATATTATATTTATAGATTAATTAAACGACATTTATGCAAAAGATATAGCTTATCATAACAAGAGATCGAGTAACTAGATAACCAAATAAATAAGATAAATCGATAAGACAATTGAAACTATAAATTAAGAATATACACAATACGATTACAAGCAAGTAAGACAATACATGAAAATAAACAGAAAATCAGAACAATTGTGAATTAACCGATTCCGTCTCCACTAGTGATCGGTAATTATTTTTAGAATTTTTTTAACTTTTTACAAAAATACAAAATTATACATCGTAAATTCTCAATTTACCGTAACGGAGAATAGGATGAGGGATCCTTACCCAGATCAGTGTTTTAATCGCGCTATTTAGCATCCCTCCTAACTGGTATTAGGATTTTTAAATTTTTCTTGTGAATCCAAAATATTCGTCACATACCT